AACCCATCTACTCCAGCCTCTTTACTACCAGTGGTGCTTCAGTTTTCAGTTTTCTCTTTACATTTGACACAGAGTGCCAGAAAACAGAAGAGATCTGCTTCAGTCAATAAAGAAGTGTTTCGAGAAACAGCCTGCCAATGTTTGACAATTAAGTATAATGATGACAGTTCACTGGCTTCTCAAACCTTGTCCACAAGCGCAGTTGCAAATTAACAGCTTGCTGGCAAAAGGTCTCATTGTCTCCCGTCTTCCCTGCTCAGTTAGTTTTCTGCCATTTTAGTGAGTTGAACTGGCATACCACCAATTAAACTAGAGAGAGGAGAGTGCATGGAAAGCCCTAAAATCATACAATTTGGGATGGAAGATGTTATCCCTATCACAGTGACAGTGATCTATTCAATAAACTCAGGCCAGAGCATGACTGCTCAACTGTTGTTGGAAAAAAAAAAAAAAAAGAATATCCAGTATCATTGGAAAGAACTAACTGCGTAAATACCTTTTGTTGGCATGCCGGACACTTGGCCCAGTTTCAAGCTATTAAATATTATCCAGGTGTTTTACACAAGACCTGAAATTATTTGGTGATTTAACTTTTGCAAGGTTAGACAACTTAATACAGTAAAAAAATGCAAATTGGTAGCTGTGCTACATGCATTAGTTTTTGCTGGTTTAATTACAGAGATAACCTAACCAGTCTGAATCTGTTCTGGTTTTTGAAAGCATCCAGTTTGCATGAAACATGTTCAGAAGTTAATGCAACTATTAATGTAGTCATATTCACACTCATATTACATCATCTTATTTACATAACTTACCCTACTCTGTAGCAGAATAATTAGGCCCACAGTGATGGAACACCGTAGTAGAAATAAGATTTCATCTTAGCACCGCAGGAAAATGTAAGTCACTTGTCTTATTCTCATATTTTATGCAGACACTAGAGCATACAGATGGAACTATTTTTCTTGTAAACCACCTCCACCCACTGATTATTTCATATAATACAGAAGGGCTTGAAAAACACAATTGTTTTCTGTTACTGGTGAATGAG